AAGGACGAAGAAGTGACTAAGAAGGCCCAAAAAACTTTGATAGATTATTTTGAGATTAATATGAATACCACTACCGAAAAAAGAGTAATCTGGGACGCAAGTAAAGCGGTCATGAGAGGATTTTTGATACAACAGAATGCAATTAAGAAGAGAGTTCAAAATGAGAAAAGAGACAAGATTTTGGAGAAAATAAAGGAAGGAGAGAAAAAATTGAGAGTGAAACCAAAGTTGCAGGAGATCTTGAAAGAGATAAAGTTATATCAAGTACAATATATGAAAATGATGAATCAGGAAATAGAATGGAAAATTAAACAGATGAGACAAAATACATTTGAATCGGCAAACAAATGTGGGAAACTGCTGGCTTGGCAAATGAAAAAAAGACAAAAGCTTAATACTATTACAAATTTGGAAGTGGAAGGGAAAAATATACAGAATCCAGTGGAGATCAGAAAGTGTTTTCAGAGGTAATTTAAACAATTATATACACAGGAGACACAGAAAGAAATGGACATTGACCAATTTTTGAAAACAAAGGGACTACAAAAAATCTCTCAAGAAAACAAACTAATGTTGAACAACAAAATAACGGTGCAGGAGGTAGAAGGGGCCATCCAGAATATGCAATTGGGCAAATCTCCAGGACCGGACGGTTTGACTTCAAGATATTATAGATCTTTGAAAGAATGGTTAGTACAGGCATTAAAAGAAGTTTGTAATGAAATATTGGAAGGGAAAAGGGCACCAGAGTCGTGGAAGGAAGCATACATCACACTTATACCGAAAACAGAGTCCGAAAAGACACAGCTCAAGAATTACCGCCCCATATCTTTGCTTAATGTGGATTATAAAAATTTTGCAGACATTTTGGCTAAAAGATTAAAAAAGGTACTAGTAGAAGAAATTAATAAAGATCAAGCGGGCTTTCTCCCGGGCAGACACTTGTCTGACAATACGAGGAATATAATTAATATTTTAGAAAAACTACAAGTGAATATTAACACTAAAGCAGTTCTGATATTTGTGGACGCGGAGAAAGCCTTTGACAATATTTCCTGGAGTTTTATGATGAAGAATTTACAGGGGATGGGGGTTGGCCAAGGTTTTGGAAATGGTATAGGTGCAATTTACTCAGAACAAAAGGCTAAATTAATTGTAAATAATGTAGTGACGGAAGAATTTAAGATAGACAAGGTTGCCCAATTTCCCCATTGCTTTTTATATCCGTCTTGGAGGTTCTCTTAAACATGATTAGAAGGGACCAAATGGTTAAAGGTATACAAGTCGGAGCTAAACAGTACAAATTGAAAGCATTTGCCGATGATTTGGTACTGACATTACAGGAGCCAGAATCTAGTACCAAAAGAGTACTGGAATTGATTCAAGAATTTGGTCAGGTTGCAGGTTTTAAGCTAAATAAGATGAAAACTAAGGTTTTAGAGAAAAATCTGACAGGGATTGAAAGAGAGAGGTTTCCGAAGGAGACAGGATTAACATTGGTCAAGAAAGTGAAATACCTAGGGGTCAACATGACTGCTAAAAATGTGAATTTATTTAAGGATAACTATGAAAAATGCTGGTTGGAAGTGAAAAAGGATTTAGAAATATGGTCAAATCTGAAGTTATCATTGCTAGGCCAAATTGCTGCGATAAAAATGAATGTATTGCCAAGGATGCTGTTTCTGTTCCAAACATTGCAAATTTTGGATAAAATGGATTGTTTCAAGAAGTGGCAGAGAGATATTTCTAGATTTGTCTGGCAGGGCAAGAAGCCTCGAATAAAATTTAAGATATTAACCGATGCTAAAGAAAGAGGTGGATTTGCCCTGCCAGACCTTAAACTTTATTATGAATCGGCCGTGTTTTGCTGGCTGAGAGAATGGCTGCTTCTTGAAAATACTGACGTGTTGGACCTAGAAGGTTTTAACAACGTATTTGGGTGGCATGCATATTTGTGGTATGATAAGATTAAAGCACATAAAGTGTTTAAAAACCATATTGTCAGAAAAGCACTGTTTAATGTCTGGATAAGATATAAGGACTTGCTTGAAAATAAAACCCCAAGGTGGCTGTCACCAATGGAAGTGAAGGCTCAGAAAAAGCTCAATATGGAGGTCAATTGGCCGAAATATTGGGAAATTTTGGAACAAGAGGGAGACAGATTAAAATTGCAGAGTTTTGAAAAACTAAAAAATAGAGTGCAAGATTGGCTCCATTATTACCAAATAATGGAGGCGTACAATTTGGATAAAAAAATTGGCTTCCAGGTGGAAAAGTCAAAATTGGAAACAGAACTGTTAGACCCCAAAACTAAGAACTTGTCAAGAATGTATAACTTGCTGTTGAAATGGAATACTCAGGATGAAACGGTGAAATCAACTATGATCAAATGGGCACAAGATGTAGGACATAATATTATGATGGCTGACTGGGAACAGTTATGGACCACAGGTATGAAGTTTACGGCATGTAATGCCCTAAGAGAAAATATAATGAAAATGATCTACAGGTGGTACATGACACCAGTCAAGCTTGCAAAAATATATCATTTGCCCGATAATAAATGTTGGAAATGTAAAGAGACTGAAGGCACATTTTTCACCTTTGGTGGACATGCCCAAGGATTAAGACATTCTGGGAGATGATTTACAATGAAATGAAAAAGGTATTTAAATATACCTTTCTGAAGAAACCAGAGGCCTTTCTCCTAGGCATGGTCGGCCAATTGGTGCCAAAAAAGGATAGAACTTTTTTTATGTATGCCACAACAGCAGCAAGAATACTCATCGCGAAGTATTGGAAGACACAAGATCTACCCACCCGGGAAGAATGGCAGATGAAGGTGATGGACTACATGGAACTGGCGGAAATGACTGGCAGAATCTGAGACCAGGGAGAAGAGTTGGTGGAAGAAGATTTACAGAAACATTGTAAAATTAAGGAATGTTAGAATGATGTTGGAATGAAATAATGCGGTTTTAGCAGAAATGCTATAAAGGTTTAAGGAAAAATAGATTGCTAAATGGTGAAGGAGGGAAAGTAAAGTTACATTATATTAAGCCATTTCCGACCTAGCGAGGAGAGGGGGTTGCGGGCGACCCCCTCCCACACTCGCGGGGCTGGTCTCTGCCACCGCGAGATCAGGGGGAATCCCTGGGCGTGCCTGCAACCCGACCCGCCAATCGGCGGGCCGGGGAGGCGTGGCCTAGCCTACTTAAGGCCAGGCACGCCCGGGGACCGCCCTCTTTCCCCCTCGCCAGCTGGAGCAGGTTTTCTTCCTCGTCGGAGTTTTCTTCCTCGTCAGGTTTCTTCCTCGTTGGAGTTTTCTGCCTTCCGTTTGCCGCTAGCGTTAACTCGCCCACGTGTGCGCCAGAAGCCGAGCGAGCGAACAAAGAGAGCTGAGGCAGCGACACAAGAAAAGAGCTGAAATCATTGTTTTATTTCTTGCTAGTTCGCTGCCTCGCATCCCCGGTTGGTGGCTGTGGCCACGCGCCTTTGCAGGGTTTGCTCAACGCCCAGCTGGTTCTTGGCACCTTTTCACGTGGGTTACAGCCAGCGGTTGCCGCGGCATTCTCGCTTTGCAGCCGAATTTACCGGGAGGACGCGGTTCGGAAGGACGTTAGGAGCGAGGTTTGGCTGGGGGTTTTCCGTCTGCTTACTCTTCTGTTGATTAATTTGCGGGTTCTTTTGCTGTGCTTTTGTTTCCGTTGTCTGTTGTTGTCTCTGTATCCAATTGTGTAAGCGCAGCGTCGGCTCCTTGCGCCGGAGCGTTCCTTGGTTTCCAGGGTTACGGCCAGATTATCAACGCCCCTTTTTGCACCACGTGGTTGGGATTGCCTGCCTCCACCATCTTAACAGAGGCATTAGGCTCGCGTCCGCCATCTTAAGCGAGGCATTTGGCCGCGCACCCTATAGGCAGGGGGAGAGGCTTCGGGGCTTAGCCGACGCCATCTTGGTAGGGTCCTCGTGGTCTACCTTGGGAGGCCATCTTGGTAGGGGGCGTGAATTATTTACGGATTTGGAGCGCTAATCCCAGCGGCGCAGTAGTAACTACTGCGGCTCTCCGGTTGCCTTTCAACCTTACCTCCCTCTAGCTTGCCTGCCGCTGCCTTTATTGCCGGTTTTGCAGCGCGTTGTTATCTGCCGCGTCCGCGAGTGACTCACAAGCGGCGCTGCGAAACTTTTGAAGCTTCCCTCCTTACTTTAATTTAGCATCCCCTGGGATTTGCCTGCCGCTGCCCTTGTTGTTGGTTCTGATTCACGTCGTACTCTTACATTACTCTGATTTCTTCCGGCTTTATTGGCGGCTTTTCAAGGTTTAAAGGGCTACGGGGAGCCTACAACTGATACCTGCTTGCGTCCTTCGGACAGGGGCGCTCTCCGGGCAGCTCATTATAACGAACGGGGGAAGGGGCTTTTGGCAATATTTTTCAGCTCTGCTGTTCTAGGTGTTAGCGATTCCTTATACTCTGGTTAAATATAACATAATAATATAAATAGCTACAATAATAAGCACTAAATTGAATACTTTATTGTATACCCATAGAATATTTGTTAATAAGTTATAGACATTTAGGCATAGCATATCCCCTCATATTAGGGTATACCCTTCATACATCCTGCTGCTGCGGGTTCTCAGTTTATTCCAGCATATAAATAAACGTCTAAAAAATAAATAAATAAATAGATAAATAAATAAATACATAAATAAAAATAAAACAATACACTTTTAAATAACTAGATAGCTACATAAATAAATAAATAAATACATAAATACATAAATAATAAATAATAAATAAATAAATAAAAGGAGGCTGATTAAGGAATAGTTATCCTTCAAGGCATAGCAGTGTAGTCGATACTGAACTAGACAGTGTTGAGCCTTTAAGGGTAGACAATACTGAACTAGGCGGATACCCCGTGGCGGTACGTTGCTGCGGAGCGGGTGTACTGGTTTGAATTTTACTCTCTTTTAGCTCTGGTTTCGCAGATAATTTGTTATGGCTTCTGGCGGGGACCAACAGCCATCCACATCTGGCAATCAAATGGCACCTGGCGCCAGTACTAGTAGCCCACAAATGGGGGCCATGCCTTGTGACCCTCAAGCGTTCGCCCAATTCTTCCGGGCGTTCGAAACCTTTTATAGACAGTGTAGGCCCGGGGCACTGGGACACCCTGCCCCAGAACCCTCGCAGGAGGTAATACCAGACACCCCCCTTAACAATCAGGGGTTGCAGGGAATTCCAGCAGCCGCGGGGGGCAGTGCCCAGCCAGGATCCTCTAATGCTAGTCGTCCTAATACTCGGGCCCAAGCAGCCATTAATAGGAGGACCAACCAGGGTGCCGGAATTGGTAAGGCTTCGGCTAAAGGGTCCGGAAAAGGGAAGTCTATGGCCAAAGGGTCTAGTAATAACGCCTTTTCTCAAGCGGTAGACATTCCTAGCGTGTTCCAGGAGCAGCAGCCGCAGCACAGCTCTACCGAGGACAGCGCAGGTTCCGGTTTGGATGATGAGCACAGGGACCCTCAAATGGCTCAGCCAGTCGCAAGTGTGAGCCCAGCCAACATAGAGGCGCAGGGTGGAAAAAGGAAGTCAAAGAAGAAGCACACTTCCTCCAAGAAGAAAAGAAGCAAGCAGTCAGAGACGGAGGACGAATCAGGTACGTCATCGTCTGATTCGGATAGTGAGGGCCCCTTGGATGGTTACTGGGGTTTAGGCGAAGGGAATCACGGGATCCCACTTTGGGCACACGAAAGGAGAGCCAATTCTCACCGTAAGACTTTCAACGGGGTCTTGGATTGGAAAGATGGGGCGTTGGTCGACGACGTAAAGGTCGCCACCAATCAGTCCACCGATTTCATTTTAGGGAACCATTTGTCCCAGAAAAAGAGGAATAAGATCCTCAATGGGGATTACGTTGACATGTTTACCCTGCTCCCGCCCGCTAAATTATTAGGAAAAGGTGAAAGGAGACGATCCTCCGGTAAGGGGAGGTACAGGACTCCCAGAGCGGAGCGCACATTTGAGAATTGGCTGGATGGGTACCAGGTGTTCATGGGGGTCGTGTGCGCTGCTTATCCCCGGCGTTCCATGGATTTGGTCGCCTATCTGGCTCATGTCAGGCGGGCCCACTCACTAGCAGGGGAGCAGGCCGCTCTAACATACGACGAGAACTTCCGGAGAAATGCTTCTCTCCTGCCTTCCACCCGATGGGACCTTACTGACCCTAACTACTGGGGCGAGGATGTTAACCCATACATCGAAAAGAAAAACCTGGGACCGAATAAGGCGGGTAAGACGGAGGTCAAGCGACGTCGCCTCTGCTGGGAGTTCAATAGGGGTTCATGCTCGAGACCCTCTTGTAAGTACCTTCACGAATGCGATCGGTGCTGGGGAAACCACCCCGCCTCAGCGTGCTTCAAAAATAAGCAGCAGCCCTTTCGTGGAGGCAGGGGGTACTTCCACAACAGTAGAGGTGCCCCCGGATCCGCCAACCAGGGACCCGGTAACCGTCAGTAACCCGAACCTGGGTCTGGCCTTCTCTCCTGTGCAGTTACAGCCCCTCAAAGCCCTCTTAGACATGTATCCCGACAAAAAAGCCGCACAATACCTGTGGGAGGGGTTTTCTAAGGGGTTCAGAATCCCAGTGGCCTTCCCACCTAATACCGGTGACCCAAAAAATCAAAAATCAGTTAGGGAGAGGCCAGAGATTGTTAGAAAAAAGATTGAAAAAGAGATTAGGGCAGGACGGGTGGCTGGCCCCTTTGCCGAGCCCCCCTTGGTAGGACTCCATCTATCCCCGCTGGGCATCGTGCCAAAAAAGACCCCGGGAGAGTTCCGAATGATCCACAACCTCTCTTACCCGAGGGGAGGGTCAGTCAATGACGCCATTCCCCAGGAACTCTGTACAGTGAAATACGCCTCCTTCGATCAAGCAGTAAAAATGATCCGCAGATTTGGGAAAGGAGCGCTACTTGCCAAATGCGACATCGAGTCGGCATTCCGTCTCCTTCCCGTCCATCCGGCCGACTTCAGGTGGTTGGGCTTTAGGTTCGAAGGAGCTTATTTCATTGACAAGGCAATGCCTATGGGTTGCTCCGTGGCTTGCTCAGCTTTTGAGTCTTTCAGCACATTTCTAGATTGGGCTTTACGCTTCAGGACCCGGTCGTCGGGCGTGTCACATTACCTCGATGATTTTATTTTGGTGGCAGACAGTAGGCAGCGATGCTCCTCCCTCTTAGAGGCCTTCACTGCCCTAGCGGAGGAGCTGGGGGTACCATTAGCCGCAGAAAAAACGGAGGGCCCAGCCACTTCTATGGTCTATCTGGGCATTGAATTGGACACCGTGGCCCAGACATCCAGGCTACCCGAGAGCAAACTGGTCGCTCTTAAAGCCCTTATACAGCAGTTACTGCCCCTAAGGAAGGTTACCTTAAGGCAAATTCAAAGCCTCCTAGGACACCTAAATTTCGCCTGCAGGGTAGTGTCGCCAGGGCGTCCCTTTTGCGGCCGTCTGGCCAGACTATCTGCGGGCCTTAGGGCCCCTCAGCATAGGGTACGCCTCTCCAAGGAGGTCAAAGCGGATTTGGGTATGTGGTTACAATTCCTTGACAAGTACAATGGTATATCCTTGTGGCAGGATTCCTTGGCACTTGACTCTGATTTCCAAGTGCAGTCGGACGCAGCCGGCTCATTGGGTTTTGGAGTCTACTTCAGGGGTCACTGGTGTGCCCAAAAGTGGCCAGCAGATTGGCAGGGCCAGCCCATTACTCGGGACCTTACATTCCTGGAATTTTTCCCTATCGTGGTAGCAGTACATCTTTGGTCAGAGCACTTTCGCAATCACAGGGTTTGTTTCAACACGGATAACCAGGCTGTTGTAGCGGTTCTTTCTAGACAATCCGCGCGTTCTACCAGGGTGGGAAACTTGCTTCGGTCCTTTGTCCTCCTTTGCTTGGAACAGAATATATATTTTTCGGCCAAATTCGTACCTGGCATTAATAATGACATCGCGGATGCTCTATCTCGTTTTCAGATGGAGCGCTTCCGCTCATTAGCGCCGGATGCGGACCAATCATCGATGTCTTTCCCGGAGCATCTTTGGAGCCTTGGGAGCAGGAAGTGATGAAGGGAGTATTCGGTGCAGTCGCCCCCTCCACAATGAGATCATATAGGAAGGCGTGGGCGGACTTCTTGAAGTTCCGCAGCAGAATACCGTGCACTAGGCGGGCGGCGGTGCCCTCCTCTAGGGAGGTCCTCCGTTATTTAACTCATTTGAAGGAGCTGGGCAGGGCACCGAAGACACTCAATATTCAGTCCGCGGGGATTTCGTATTTCTGTAAAGCCTTTTTCGCCACCGACCCTTGTGCCCAATTTATTGTGCGTAAGACTTTGGAAGGCTGGCGCCGGCAGCAGCCCCCTAATCCGGACAAGAGAAAGCCCATAACGTATGATATTCTGACCCAGATTCACAAAAAACTAAGAGAAATATGCTGGTCGAAATACGAAGCCCGTCTATTCTCTGCCGCCTATTCCATAGCCTTCTTTGGTGCCTTGCGCATAGGCGAGGTCGTCTGTGAGGGGGGGACTGCCCACTGCCAGAGGGGCATCCTGTTAAGTGATCTGACCCTATCAGAGACCGACCTAATAATTCAAGTGCGGAGCTCTAAGACGGACCAACAGGGTAGGGGGGCTCTGCTGCGCCTACCAGCAGCACAAGCGAGGGGTCCATGTCCGGTGAGGGATATGAGGCGTTTCCTCTACTTAAGACCCAAGGGTCCCGGCCCCGTGCTTATTCACGCGGATGGTTCACTTTTGGCTAGGCATCAGTTTACGAGGGTCATGCGCATGGCATTGGCCGCCTGTGGCCTCCCCGCGGCTGAATTCGCAGCTCACTCCTTTCGGATTGGGGCAGCGACCACTGCAGTGCACCTTGGGCCTCGGCAGAGAGGATAAAGGACTTGGGCCGGTGGAAATCTAACGCATACAAAGCTTATGTGAGAAAGAACCTGTGACTAGCTTTGGTTCCCTGACCTTGTCTTTTCTATCCATTTGCCTTTCAGAGTTCAAGCGGTCGCGCATTTGGTTGGTGGGCCACAGCATCGTGCACTGGGCCAAAGAACGTGCTATGGTTAACGGATTGGGTTCGAATTTGAGCCTACCTGCAAATGTCGAGCTGCTGTGGATGGCGCGAAGGGGCATGCGCTGGAGTGAATTCAAGCCAGCTGTGATGGCGAGAGCTGCCTCCGAGGGTCCACCCGATGCGCTGGTTATCCAGTTGGGGGAAAATGACTTAGCATACCGCAAAGCTATTGACCTTAGGTGGAACATTTTTGACGATCTGGCCAATCTGAGGGCGGTCTACCCAAACATTACTATCCTGTGGTCCTCGTTGCTTGAGAGGAGGACGTGGAGGATTGCGTGAGCCCGGTTGGAATTAATAAAGCAAGAAAGGTCTTGGAGCGGGCTGTGGAGCGTAGAGTGGCGGCTCTGGGTGGGTGCGTCATTCAGCACCCAGGCATCCAGTACAGCAACGAGGCCCTCTACCGATCGGATGGCGTGCATCTGTCAGATGCTGGAAATGATATTTGGCTGGGGGATATCACAGCAGGGATTAGGGATTGGCTACAGGCTTGAAGGTATTGGCGGCGAGCTTTGCTCGAGTGGCGGTTAGGCATTGGCAGGGGTTTATTGTTATGCAAATGAGTTGGGGGGGAAGGAAAAGCCATCACCTTCCCCCAGGAAAGGGTAGTCCGGTAAAGGACTCCGGGGGGCGTTTGCCTTGTCCGAAACCTACGGAGGTGAGGGCCCCCGGCACGCCCCCGAGCGGTGACACCCGTGGGATCCTAGTTGGCGTACTTCAACAGGACCCCCACGGTTTGTGGTTAACCCTTCCCGGTCTCCATGCCGGGTAGTCGATAGGAGCCAATGCCTAAGGCCAATACCTTTCAATTCTGTATTCAATAAAGTTGTGGCCTGTTTAAGCCCATTAACCTTAATTAATGTGTCCTGTGTCGTTACTTTCATGGGGGAGGGGTCTAGCCACGCAAAGATAAAATAGAGGACAAAAACTGGAAAAGATGGAAAGGATTTGCTGAAATAGCTAATTGAACTAGAATACAAAAAAGGGAGGTGTGAGGAGGTCAAGGAAATAAGCAAATGAAAGATAAGATATGGGAAGATTTATTGTATTTTTTTTTCGTTTTTCTTTTTTTTATTATTGTGATGTGATGTTTTGTATTTCTTAAATATGCTGTTTTTTTAAATTTTTTCTTTTTGTAACCCTTTAAAATTCAATAAATATTATTTTTTTTAAAAAAATGTCCACACTTACTCATCTTTTATCTAAGCTAAAAAACCCTGATTGTTGTAACCTTTCCTAGTCGGTGAGTCGCTCCATCCCCTTGATCATTTTGGTTCCTGAACCTTTTCCAGCTCCACAATATCTTTTATTGTAACAATTTACCACTTTCTTGGCTGTTGTAGAAAGGAATATTTTATTAAATCTTTCCCTTTTCTCATGCTTGTTTAATGTTCAGCAGCAATTGTTGAAAAAATTGTGTACAGTGGTACCTCAGGTTAAGTATTTAATTTGTTCCGGAGGTCTGTTCTTAACCTGAAACTGTTCTTAACCTGAAGCACCACTTTAGCTAATGGGGCCTCCTGCTGCCGCCGTGCCGCTGGAGCACAATTTCTGTTCTCATCCTGAAGCAAAGTTCTTAACCTGAAGCACTATTTCTGGATTAGCAAAGTCTGTAACCTGAAGCGTATGTAACCCGAAGCATATGTAACCACTGTATTTTGTGGTTTAATATTCTGATTTTATTCTGTGAACCACCCTGAGACCTTCAGGTATAGGGTGGCATATAAATTCTAACAAAAACAACACATAAGCTTGGCCTCTTCTCACTAGAATAGAGACAGAAGCAACATATCTTGATCAGCTGTTTATGGGGAGCCCATATTTCCGTGGTTGGAGACAAGAAGACCCCGCAAAAGTATATGAAGTTAAGAAGCTTTGTAAATTGGAAGCAGGAGGAGAAAGCATCTTTATCACAACAAAGAATAGTTGAAATAGCAACAGTCTTGTCTTGAAAGTCTTCCATGAAAGATTGAAGACACTGAAAGCTAATATCAAGGACACTGTCCAACCTTTCCACATGGTAGGAAAACTAATGTCAAGGACACCGTCCAACCTTACAATACTTTTTTTTTTTTAATATAACAGAACAGAACCAAGAGAAGAATTAGTGTTCAAGAAAAGAAGGTGTCTTTCTTTCACCTTTTGATGTACACTTTGCTGCAAAAAAAGAAAAAGAAAAAAAGTTAAATGAGATTGAGTGCAAGGTGATGAAAAGTCTTTCAATAGGACTGTTTCTTTTGTCATGAGCCATATAAGATGGAGACAAAATTACTATTGAAGCATCTTTCTTCTTGGGAAAAGAGTCACACAAAGGATGAAGAAGCTCTTGAGCAGTGGCCCACTTTGAGGTCATGACTCATGAGAGCTTCTCAGGTGA